ACTCTTTTTCTCAGGTGGTACCCAACTGACTCTACAATATTGTGCAGTTGACAAAATCAAAAACAATGTGCATGTACAAATTTAAAAATATAAATGGCGACAATTTATCCATTGCATATAATATATAGTGGTGTACCTGATAAACTTAAAAATGGAATCTGTCTATATTCCCGAGATGAGGTATTATGTACACTATTTACATTATTCAGACTATTGTCCTCATCTTTGTCGCCATATTTATCACAACATTTCAGCCATTGTACGCTCTGCCCTTCTTCAGACATTTCTAGACATTAATACAAATATATTTTCAATTTCTATTATAAATGCCAATAAAAAAAAACAACTTCTATTTGATAGCTTATCTCAAAGTTCTCAATGGAATGGTTGACTTTGGTGCTTATTGGCTAAGGCTTTTACTCAAGGTTCCATTCTGCTGAGAAGTAATTGTAGATCTCTGTGTTTTGTAATTTTCAGGTGGTTTCTTTGTTTAATAAGATGTGTAAGTGTATTGAAACCACAGTCATATAAGAAGTTGGAAAAGCAACGAAGAAAAGTCTGATAGCTTTCCACAGCACTTTCAGAAATTTCCCTTTGTAGCCACTATTGAATAATTTTTCAAAATTTGAAAAAAAAAAAAAAAATCTTAAATGTCCACCATCACCCAAACAAAATAGAAACTGACAATACCCACTTTCAACATCATGAAGCCCACAAGGGGGCGCTAGTGCCCAGTTTAGCAACACTGTTTGAGTCCAACCAAGAAAGACTTTAAAAAAAAAAAAAAAAAATTATGTTTAGCAATTTTTTGGAGGTGGGGGGGGGGGGGTTATAGCAGCAGAATCAATAATACAGATCATTTTTATAACCAGTAATACAAATATGTTGTAAATATGATTTAATATCATACCTCTCACTCATGTATGTCAAGTGAAAGTGAGTTCAGTCAACAACGGGAATTTGCCGACCAAGTTTTATAAATAAGGTTTGATTTTTTGTTTTTGTTTTACGGCATATCAACCTCACTGGGTTATTTAATACCGACAATTTTTATTGCTGGTAATATTTTTTTTTTTTTTTTTTTAAATGTATTGCTGGTAATATTTTTTCTTCAACAAATCTATTTCTGGTAATATTTTTTCTTCAAAATTGTATTGATGGTAATATTTGTTTAAAAAATGTACCGCTGGTAATTTTTATTTTTTTCCCTAAAAATGTATTGCTGGTAATAATATTTTTCTTCAAAAATTTATTGCTGGTAATAATTTTTACAAAGTATTTCTAGTATTAAAACCTATTTTTGCATTTTCATAGTGTTTTGACCCCAGTTTGGAGGTTAACCATTTGCCCATAGCTGGGACCCTAACAGTTGCTACCACCCCAGGTCAGGGTGGACATGGGAACACCAGTAATTAAGAGGTGGTTCCACGCTCCTCAAAGCCTCCTGGTCAGAGGCCTTGCTGTTGGACATAGTTTATCGTCATACCCAGGACAGAATAAGATCTGATATTATATTTCAAGAGGAACAAAAATAACAAACATGTCAAGGAAGTAGATGAGGAAAAATCAACAGGTAATCTTCATCTGGTCATATCCGGTCTACTTGCTGTGGTGTTCCCAGGTGTTCAAACAGGTAGAGAAGCAAGGTAAACAGGCCCTTCTTAACACAGTGCGGACGAGTTTTTTTTAAAAATCACATTAGCAACATTTCTTATTTTCAATCTGTGCAATTGGCTCAGTTAATTATCAAAGACTTATAGATTTTAAACGTTGTGTATTGGTGTGCGCATATTCACATATAAATTAATGCAGAAGCAACAAAAACTTGGGTTTCTACCTAAGACCATTCATTTTTTAAAATTTTCTTTTATAGAAAGTAAGTAGTTAAATAATTATATAAAAGCATCATATCCATCAAGTAATTTTTACAGTTATGTACCTTTTACTTAAAAATACCTAAGATTAAGCTATCTGTCAACACCTCATAAAAACATCAACCTTGGTGTTAAAAATACTTTCTTGTGACATTTTAAACAAATAGTAATATTTTATTTTAATTCAGATTAATTAATTTATGGATTTTAAGGCTGTGTGTTGTTCTCTGATAGGAGTGTGTATGTTCATTTACAAACAATGTAGAAGCAACAAAAACTTGAGTTTCTATTACGACTGTTAATTCTTTTTTTAATAGAAATTGTAGGGAAACAAAGTTCACATCTCTTGGGTCTGTCTGTTTTCTTTTTTAGAAATAAGAGAGGGTAATTAATGATAATGAAAGTAATTTACAGTAAGTAATGATGTTATAGAAATTAAGGTTATATTATTGGTGTGTGCACATTCATAAATAATCTTGAGTTTCCACCACAGACCGTTAAGTGTTTTTTTTTGTAGAAACTGTAAGGAAGCAAAGTTCTCAATGTTGATTGGGGATGTCTGTTTTCTTTTTCTGGATCAGAAGCAGGTTCGGGTAAGTAAGGATAAGAATGGTTAAAATGTTCATGCTCAAGTCAGCTTTACACTGAGTTGGAACGACCTAAGTCAGGTTTTGTACTTATTTCATGGGTGGAGCTGCAAAACCACATCTGAACACTATATGTTTGAAAGTGAAAAAAGTGAAATGTTTTATCCTTTCTGGAGTTGAGTCATAAAATTGTGCAGGTGAACAAAATCACTTTCAGGATACTATTATTACTTATTAATGTATTTATTGATTTTATTTCTTTTTCCCACAGATTGATGGTGCAACTTGTGATGAGATGAAACAATCAAAATCAAAAATGAAGATAATTAGTTATTAAACATAATAATGAAGATTCATTTTTATCCCTGATTATGAAATAAAACATTTTCTTTGTGATTAAATGCTTGAAGCCTGATCTAATATTTTTCAGAACTGTTTAAATAAACTAGTATTAATTATTATCCTTTAGATTATTGATCATTTCAATTAATACATTCCTCTTCATTATGGTCACTACCTTTTTGAACTTCTGAGTTTGAAGTTAGAGGTTGAACATGTGAAAAAAAAAAAGAAAAATGGAGTGTCATGATGACACACAGTTCATTTCAGATATGCATAGATAGTTCTTTTCCTGGGATAACTCTTTATGGAACCTGGAATATTATGGCTAGGATCTATGAAACAAATCCATCCAAACTTTCATTCCCTCTAATGATTCCATATCTAGTGATATAGCAAATACTAAAAGCATCTATAGAAATTCATTGCAAATGATTTTACTATAAGAATGCATTAGAAATTATTTGAATACTAGCTCTTTATGGAACCTGGAATATTATGGCTAGGATTTATGAAACAAATCCATCCAAACTTTCATTCCCTCTAATGATTCCATATCTAGTGATATAGCAAATAATAAAAGCATCTATAGAAATTCATTGCAAATGATTTTACTATAGGAATGCATGAGAAATGATTTGAATACTAGCTCTTTATAGAACCTGGAATATTATGGCTAGGATTTATGAAACAAATCCATCCAAACTTTCATTCTCTCTCATGATTCCATATCTAGTGATATAGCAAATACTAAAAGCATCTATAGAAATTCACTGCAAATGATTTTACTATAGGAATGCATTAGAAATGATTTGAATACTAGCTCTTTATGGAAGCTGGAATATTATGGCTAGGATTTATGAAACAAATCCATCCAAACTTTCATTCCCTCTAATGATTCCATATCTAGTGATATAGCAAATACTAAAAGCATCTATAGAAATTCACTGCAAATGATTTTACTATAGGAATGCATTAGAAATGATTTGAATACGAGCTCTTTATGGAACATGGAATATTATGGCTAGGATTTATGAAACAAATCCATCCAAACTTTCATTCCCTCTAATGATTCCATATCTAGTGATATAGCAAATACTAAAAGCATCTATAGAAATTCACTGCAAATGATTTTACTATAGGAATGCATTAGAAATGATTTGAATACTAGCTCTTTATGGAACCTGGAATATTATGGCTAGGATTTATGAAACAAATCCATCCAAACTTTCATTCCCTCTAATGATTCCATATCTAGTGATGTAGCAAATACTAAAAGCATCTATAGAAATTCACTGCAAATGATTTTACTATAGGAATGCATTAGAAATGATTTGAATACTAGCTCTTTATGGAACCTGGAATATTATGGCTCGGATTCATGAAACAAATCCATCCAAACTTTCATTCCCTCTAATGATTCCATATCTAGTGATATAGCAAATAATAAAAGCATCTATAGAAATTCATTGCAAATGATTTTACTATAGGAATGCATGAGAAATGATTTGAATACTAGCTCTTTATGGAACCTGGAATATTATGGCTAGGATTTATGAAACAAATCCATCCAAACTTTCATTCCATCTAATGATTCCATATCTAGTGATATAGCAAATACTAAAAGCATTTATAGAAATTCATTGCAAATGATTTTACTATAGGAATGCATTAGAAATGATTTGAATACTAGCTCTTTATGGAACCTGGAATATTATGGCTAGGATTTATGAAACAAATCCATCCAAACTTTCATTCCCTCTAATGATTCCATATCTAGTGATATAGTAAATACTAAAAGCATCTATAGAATTCATTTGAAATAATTTTACTATAGAAATGCATTAAAAAGGATTCTAATACCCATTTTTACTCTTGTAGCGAGAAACTGAAGTGAAATTTATTTTCTATTTTTCTTAAAATTCATCATAAAATAAAGAAGAAATTCTTCAGACAATTAAAATGTCCTGTTGCACATACAAAAACAAAAGGTAAAGTTCAGGGATATCTGTCCACCTGTCTTTATGTGGTAGGGTAAAGAACTGGTGTTCGTCTCTTACTTTTGCAGACACAGTAGTTTTCACAAAGTGCAGCAAAAAAAAAAAATAAAAAAAAAAGAAGAAGCCTTATCGATCCAATTTTGTTAGTAACAATGAAAATAGATTCATCCATTCTGAAGAAGGAAAACAAAAATACTTACTGTGGCTTTTTGTAATAAAGAAGACCTTCAGATATTTTTGTCTGATTATCTTTGAGTTCAAAAGAGACCAATTCCTGAAAAGAAATAAAAGGAAAGACATTCTTTAAATCTATTATTGAACATAAATTAACTCAGAGTACAAAACACCAACTAAAAAATAAAAAAATATCGCACTCAAGAGAAATCAGACGAGTCTCTTATTTTTTTAGGTGATGCAAATGAATTTGCTTTTTTACTTTAACATCAGCTCCGAAAATAAAGATGATCAGAGCCTGGCAGCTGATCGCTTTTCAGATCTAGCTCTAACAGTTCAATGGTGGGGAAAATAATGACCTGTAACCAATACCCCAAAAACAAAGCCAGTATCATTCCATCAACATCGATCAGACCCTGAAATTTTCTCCAGTCATGATGAATATTTGTACTCTCAATAAAGCTCCTTGCTTTCAACGTTTATTGAGACTCAAGTTCACTCCAGACCTGAAGTCAAATTCATGTATACAATCCAATGCTAAAGATGCTGGAATAAACACCTTTTGTACCCTTCCAGCAAGTACCTGACTGCTTCTGCTGTTTTATCTTTGTAATAGTCAAATTAGACCAAAAAATGGAGTATTGCTGTCATACCTGGGTTGGGATGGCCTAATCCTAACTTTCCAAACTTGATAGAATTCAAAATCATTTACACAATCTTGTTGGGGATGACTTATTTTCCACTCTACAGCCTCTTTCCCCATAAGTGCAAAGTTGCAACTCTATTGCTATTTCCATGGCAAATGTTCAAATGAACTCCACCCTTTTGTTTCATCAGTTCAAACCTTTACGGCTAGGACTCACCATGCTTCATCAATGGAGTTGAATTACCCACATTCTCTTGTATTCTATGGATAAAGTTCCACTCAAACATTTCTCCCCCTCCTAACAATAACTACTTTGCGGAACTGATTCTCATGCAGATGCTTCCCTGAACACCAAAAGCATCAAAATCATTTATGTCGTCTTGTTAACTTTTACAACTCTGCTGGCATACATGTCTGTCAGCGAAACTCTTTCTCAATATTCTTCAAGTGGACATGTTTGTTGAGTGACAGAGCCTAAAATACCCTATTACTACAGAAATGACGTCATTAAGCTTGTGATATGAACTGGTAATGACTGGATGTCAATCATTTTGTCCTAACTGAAAATACTTATTTTATCAGCAATCATAATCATAGCTACCAGAGTTTTCCTATGCTCCTGGACCTATAAATGATATTGATGTGGGGTGGCAGTGAGATATGAACTGGTTTTAACTTCCTGGACCTATAAATGATATTGATGTGTGCACTGAGACTGAAATGTCAATCAAATTTTGTCCTAACTGAAAATACTTATTTTATCAGCAATCATAATCATAGCTACCAGAGTTTTCCTATGCTCCTGGACCTATAAATGATATTGATGTGTGTGGCAGTGAGACTGAAAGTGATTCCAACCAAGAAGGAGGAATTTTCAAACCAAACCATCACTCCTGGACCTATAAAGATATTGATGTGTGGCAGTGAGACTGAAAGGATTCCAACCAAGAAGGAGGAATTTTACAATCACCCACTACCAGAGTTTTCCTATACTCCTGATCCATGGCTACCAGAGTTTTCCTATACCCATCATGGTCCTGGACCTATAAATGATATTGATGTGTGGCAGTGAGACAAAATTTGGTGACACAGCAAAACCTAACTCGCCAAAAGTGAACCAGGTCTTGGAAAAACCTTTTATTGATAAGAAGGACCTTTGTATTTATTTTCAAACCATCACAATGTGATGATATCAATCACAAAAAATATATATAGTAAAAAAAAAAAAAAAAAAAGATATGTCTACATTTTTCACATCCTTTCAAATACCTAAAGATTTTTTTCTAAATCCTAAAATACCCAGCATTCAAAAACCTGGAGGGATACAACTCTGAAAGTTAAAGGAGTTGTAATGGTTAAAAATGATATTGATGTGTGCCTTTGACAGAAATTGAGACTGAAAGTGATTGCAACCAAGAAAGGACTAAGGAATTTTGACAACTGTTCGAAAACTATTCTTTAGTGCCACTAGTTCATGCCATTTTAGCAGGGACATGCTAATACATCCACAAAGGCCGAATCACCCCATTTCTTTGCTTTTTTGAATGTGTATTGGGACTCAAGTTCACACCAGAATTTTCCTATATAGAGATGCTGAAGATGCTACCAAACTCTTTTCTGCCATGTTTTACCTTTAAAAGTGAAATTGATGTGACCAAAACATGGCAGTGAGACTGAAAATGATTGCTAACTTTCCAAGTAATTTAAAAGGAGAGAATTTTCCAAACCATCCCAGAGATGCAAAAGCATGGAAGTTTTCATGCTATTACAAAAATCCACCTTTACCTTTAGGGTCAGATTACCAGCGTTTGCAGATGTTTTCCTATACTCTTTCTCAATATTCTTCCTGGATGTTTGTTGGAGTGACTATAAAATGATATTGACGTCATTGTGTGATATGAACTGGTAATGTGAGACATTTTGAAAGTGAAAATACTTATTGCAATCATAATCATAACCAAGAAGGATGGAATGTTTCAAACCATCACAAGCATACAATCACCCATACAATACCAGAGTTTTCCTATATTCCTGGACCTATAAATGATATTGATGTGTGTGGCAGTGAGACTGAAAGATTGCAACCAAGAAGGAGGAATTTTCAAACCATCACAAATACAATCACCCATACCAGAGTTTTCCAATCAGGAGGAATTTTCAAACCATCACAAGCATACAATCACCCATGGCTACCAGAGTTTTCCTATACTCCTGGACCTATAAATGATATTGATGTGTGTGAGACTGAAAGTGATTGCAACCAAGAAGGAGACTACAAAAGTGATTCCATACCTGGAAGAAATGAATTTTCTGAAAACAAGAAGGAGAATTTTCAAACCATCACAAGCATACAATCACCAATGGCTACCAGAGTTTTCCTATACCCTGGACCTGATATTGATCTACTGAAAATTCCAACCAAGAAGGAGGAATTTTCAAACCGTCACAAGCATACAATCACCCATGGCTACCAGAGTTTTCCTATACTCCTGGATCTACAAATGATATTGATGTGTGTGGCAGTGAGACTGAAAGTGATTGCAACCAAGAAGGAGGAATTTTCAAACCATCACAAGCATACAATCACCCATCATGGTTACCAGAGTTTTCCTATACTCCTGGACCTACAAATAAATGTTGATCAAGAAGCTAGTGAGGTAAACGTTTTTCATCTTTTTTTTTAACCGACAAAGTTTATTCAAGTAATGGCTGTGGAAACTAACTGATATGCAAACGATATGAAAACAAAATTTGGTGACACAGCAAAACCTAACTCGCAAATCAGGTCTTGGAAAAACGTTTGCTTTGAAGGAATGAAAGCATTTTTGGCTTTGCTTTTATTGATAGATTTGATAAAGCAACCTTTGTATTTATCTTACTGGACAACAGGCCCCCTTTTATATATGCAAGGCTTTCACGATGTGATGAGGAGGAATCCTTTTTCATCAATTCTGTTCTATGTTTTTTTTTAGTTTTTTCTCAAAAATATATGTATAGTAAAAAAAAAAAAAAAAAAGATATGTCTACATTTTTCTACATCCTTTCAAATACCCTAAAAATTTTATGACAACATCTCTAAATCACTAAAAGTTCTAGTAATATACCCAGCATTCAAAAACTTAGCACACCCAAAATTAATGTGGATCCAGGGGATACAACTCTGAAAGTTAGTGCGGAGTTGTAATGGTTAAACTGTGAAATTAATAACAGTTGGCCTAAATTGAAAAATCCTACCAAAGATTAATTCAGCCTTTGACAGAAATTGAACCTGCATCACTTTATTCCATCAGAGAAACCACTGAAGTGTGCATTTACCAGTTCAGCCACAGAAACTGACTAACAGTATTCTATCAATATTTCCATGACAACTGTTCGAATGAGCCCTATTCTTTAGTGCCACTAGTTCATGCCATTTTAGCAGGGACATGCTATGCTACATCCACAAGGCCGAATCACCCACATTTCTTGCTTTGAATGTGTATTGGGACTCAAGTTCACACCAGAATTAAAGTGGAACTCATATATAGAGATGCTGAAGATGCTGGAAAAAGCTTCTTTGTGCTCCTGCAGCAAGTACCAAACTCTTTCTGCCATGCTTTACCTTTAAAAGAATTAGATTAGACCAAAACATGGAGTATTGCTGCAATGTCTGGCTGGAATGGCCTAATCCTAACTTTCCAGCTTTGATGTAATTTAAAAATGATTTACAGTCTTGTAGAGAATGAGTTACATTCCACTTTACACCCTCTTTTCCCAGAGATGCAAAGTTACTCTATGGAAGTTTTCATGCTATTGATCCAAAAGGTATCCGATTTCTTTTACCATACTTTACCTTTAGGACTGTCAGATTAATCCCAAAGACCTTACACAGCGTTGCAGATGATATTAACCACCCTGCAACCCTTATCCAACAGACAAAACATTGTCAGCCTTTTGCTACTATATTGCTATTAGACGGCAGATGCTTCAATGAGTTATGTCCCTTAGTGCCATCAGCTCGAATCTTCACAAGTAGAACTTTTCTGTAAATACTTTCACAGTAACTGTTCTGATGAACTTTGCAATGTGGTATCTAGACTTTATAAATTTAAGTGCAGTACTAAATTGCCATGTTTCATCATTTTACAGTTGAAATAGTGAGATATGATCATAAATTCTATGAAAACAGTTTCTTCTATTACACTTCTTGCTTGTGGAACTTTATTCCGTTTTCTTCTTTACCAAATTTAATCTTCAAAAATTTAAATCGTTATCTTCTGTCTTTTTAATTCTTATTCTTTTATTGTCCTCTCTCCTTTATAGCATATTTTTCTCATATTCTCTAACACTAAGTAACTTCTTACATCCTAGTGGCTTTATTACCTTGCTTAGGTGAAATGATTAAAAAAATAAAATTTTTTTTTACTAAAAACAAGTTCCACTGGATGGTCCAATTTTCATAAAGGATTTCTTAG